TTTTGTTTTTTGGTGGCTTGCCAGTATGGGTATCCAAAGAGATACAATTTGCATGCCATGGAATTCACCCTTTTGAAAAATTTTTAATTGTGGTAAAATACACATAAAATTTACTATCTTAATCATTTTTAAGTGTGCAGTTTAGTAGTTTTATATATTAAAATCTTGTCATGCATGCAACTAATCTCTAGAACTCAATTTTTGTCTTGCAAAACTGTGACACAGGTTTACTGTGCATTGGTTGAATCTGGTGAGGCAGAATATACTCTTACACAACAAGTTATATGGAGTGGAATTGTTATTTACATATAGGTAGTATGAGACAATAGAAGCCTATAATTCATTTTGAGCCAGTCCCTTAATACTTAGAAAGCTATCTGGGGTGGATGGAGTCTCAACTACATGTTTTTGACTTGTACTGCAGATGAAGGACCCTGAAAGACAGCTTCCCTGGATTTTATACCTTGGTGTTACATGACTGACTGGGCTAAAGTGTTGAAGGATATCCTGGGTGGGGATGGGGATGGGGGACTGGAACAGGGCCCCGGCTGTTCTAGCCAGCTCCCTGTTTATCTCAGGATGTTGAATTCATAGCACACTATACAGTTACTCTTGAGAACTACAAACAGGAAAGGAGGGGGAACTGGCCCAGTACAAGGCCACCCATAGAATTGTCCTGCAAAACTGATACTCTATACCCATTAAACAATAACTCCCCATTTTCCGCTGCCCAAGTCCCTAGCTGTCTCTATGAGTTTGACTAAGTTAAGTACCTCATATAAGTGGAATAATACAGTATTTGTCTTCTTGTGACTGGCTTTTTTTTTTTTACTTAGCATAATGTCCCCAAGATTCATTTATATTTTAGCAAGTGCCAGAATTTCTTTCCTTTTTAATGCTGAATAATAATCCATTTTGTATACATACCTCATTTTGTTTATCCATTCATCTGTCAATGGACACTTGGGTTGTTCCACTTTTTAGCTATTGTATATAAAGCTGCTATTGAACATGGGTGTACAAATATCACTTTGGGACACTGCTTCAGTTCTTTTGGGTATTTACCCAGAATTAGAATTGGTGAATCATGTGGTAATTATATTTAAAATTTTTTGATGAATTGCCACACTGTTTTCCATAGTAGCTGCACCATTTTACATTTCCACCAACAGTGTACAAGGGTTCCAGTTTCTCCACATCTTGCCAGCACCTGTTATTTTCTGTCCTTTTAGCAATAGCCATCCTAATGGGTGTGAAGTGGTATCATATTTTGGTTTTTGATTTGCATTTCTGTAATGACTGGAGCATCTTTTATGTGTTCATTGGCTATTTGTATATTTTCTTCAGAGAAAGGTCTATTCAAATCCTTTGCCCATTTTTTCATTGGATTGTTTGCTTTTTTTGTTGCTGAGTTGTAAGAGTTCTTTATATATTCTGGAGATCAATCCCTTAACAGACATATGATTTGAAAATATTTTCTTTCATTCTGTGGGCTGCCTTTTTATTGTGTGATAATGTCTTTTGATGCACAGAGTTTTTAGTTTTAATGAAGTCTAAGTTATATATTTTTCTCAGGGTTCTTGATCATTACTATACTGAGAAGGCTGTAAAGATAGAGTTGGATCCCATTTAAACATTTATCTGTGCTACTTGATTAAATAGTGTGTTGCTGAACAGTACAGAGAACTCTTAAATCTGCTGTTACATGTGCTCCTAAAGGATGCTGAAGAGTAAGAGTAAAAGAAAGCCTGAGTAAAAGAAAGCAAGCTAGCATATGTAGTTCTTTTGTAATAGCAAGTATTTAGTGAGTATTTACTGGGTGCAGTGTACTATTCAAGGCTGTGGTCTAGAAAATGTACTTGCCAAGATATGGGTTCTCAGAAAGAGCCAATGTGCAAATTTTCTCAGTGGAACAGCACAAATATATGAAATTGCTTGTACCTTTCAAAACTATGTTATGATTAACTCTAAGCAAAGATAATAATACAGGAATCCTAGGCTAAAATATGAACATGTTTGAATGTCTTTTTAACTCGAAGTGAGATTTGCAAAGACTGAATATTCATTTTTTTTCAGTATTCTTTCACCAAAAATTCATAATATTACCTTTATTTTGCCTCATAGTCTTCTTTCAAAGTAGTTTGACATTTCAGTTAATTTGAAGGATTCTTAAGATTGTTGTTGTTTTTTAAACTTGTTGCTAGTTTTTTGGACTAACTCTTGCACCCCTCTTAGAAGCTCTTAGGAGAAGGGTGATTCATTTTCTTGGCCCAGAAGAACCCAATTGCTCTAAAGTTGTTAGGTTCAGCACACGATTTTGATACTTAACAGCATCAAAAGAGCCAGAACAATTACCATTATAGGTACTTTTCAGTTTACAAAGTGCCTTCTCATCTTATTTAATCCCAACATCTAGTCAGAAAGTTGTTACTGTATTTCTTTCATTCTAAGATGCAAATTTTTCATATTATAATATATCTGATATAAGAATGTATTTAATTTAATTTAATTAATTTATTTATTTTTTGTCTTTTTCCTAACCGGTAAGGGGATCGCAACCCTTGGTATGGTGTCACCCACACCGCACTCAGCCAGCGAGCGCACCAGCCATGCCTATATAGGATCCGAACCCGCGGCGGGAGTGTTGCTGCGCTCCCAGCGCCGCACTCACCCGAGTGTGCCACGGGCTTGGCCCTAAGAATGTATTTTATAATTGATGGTGTTAAACACCAAGGTCAAGGGTTTGGATCTGTGTACTGGCCAACTGCCAAAAAATACAATAAAATAAATAAAATATAATTGATGGTGTTATAGTTTTTTTTTTTTTTTAAAGAATTTAATCATTTCTCTTTTTATTTCATCACCCAGATTTCATCAAAAGTTAACTTTTTCCCCTGATTTTTAAAAATTTATATTTATTTTTGTGGGGTACAGTGTATTGCAATACATGCATATGATGGCATTACATTTTAATTGGTAGGTTTTTTTTTCCTAGAGGCACATAAAATAATGGCTTATTTTACTAATCTATAGAGTCTTAGATTCAAAGAAATACTGTATAAATACTATTACTGTTGTTGGTATTATTATTATGCTGATTTTACAGATGAAGAAACTGAAGCTCTGAGGACTAAATATTACATCCAGAGTTGGAAGCAGGCTTTTGATATCAAGGGCTTATTTTCTTCCCCAGTGTACCAATGGTACTCAAACTTTAATGTTGTAAGAATTATCTGGGGAGATACATGGGCATCCATCCTCCAGAGATTTAGATTATGTCTAAGGCAGGGCTCAGGAATATGCATTTTTTTTTTCCTTTTTTGTCTTTTTTCGTGACCGGTAACAGGATCGCAACCCTCAGTGTCGCGCCCATACCGCGACCGGCAACGGGATTGCAACCCTCAGTGTCGCGCCAGTACCGCGCTCAACCAGTGAGCGGACCGGTCTCTATATGGGACCCGAACCCTCGGCGGGAGCGCTGCCGTGCTCCCAAGCGCCGCACTACCGAGTGCGCCACCGGGCCGGCCCAGGAATATGCATTTTAACAGTCCCTCTTCCCTGCATTTATTAAGAGGGGTCAAGGATGACACTTTGAGAGGCCAGGAGTTATAGCTTTAAGTATAAATTCAGTCTCTGACTTGCTGATAGAAGCTCTGCCATCAACATAAATGCCCCTCAAGTGTTTGTTAGTGATGAGGATAAAGTACCTGGTACTGCTAATAAGAAGTCTAGGAAGCCCTAAACAAAGTTCTCTGGTGGCATAATCCCATAAAGGAGCTCTGACAGACATCACTAATCAATCACAGAGGCTGCCCACAATTGCTTTCAGTACTGAGCTCTGGGCTGTAACTTTCAGTCAAACACAGATGAAGCCTTTTCTGCCCCGGGCCTTGTGGACTGACACTATTTGTGAGTTTAAGGGAAAAGAAACATTTCATCTTTTTTTCCTACAGTTGATTCCTTGTAGATGTCACATAGAGATGCTTTTGCACTTTACTTTTGTTTTGTTATGCTACAGGTGTCTAGGATGTGACCTGGTTGCTGGGGGAAAGGCCCCTTCCTCTTTCTAATAGAGCTCTTTATTGGAGTTTTTGTCAATGTGTTCTTTATGACATTATAGCTGCTGCCTACCTAGTAAACAGCAGCACACTGCTGATTGCCTCAGCATGATTTTGTGTAGTCAGCTTTTCCATTAGTATCGTGTAAAGCTGGAAATAAGATTCTAGTAAGATGGATAAGGTCTGGGTGTTTTCTTTTGGATTTTCGCACATTTCAAATCTTATTTTACTTCTTATTGCTTAGCTTGGGAATTGGTTTGCTCTTGACTATATAATTTCAATAGTTAAGGAAGTATTAATTTGGGTACTTTATGGTAGACACCTTTATTTTTTTCTTAATTTATTACACTTCTCAGTTATGATTTTACATCATAATTTCTAACTTTACCTCTTCCATGAAACTTTTGACACATACAACAACTACAATTGAGTTCTCACATTACTAATAGTTCATTACACTTATTTTCCAGACTCAATTTTTTGGCATTTAATTTAATTTGGTACTTTTATTAGTTAAGGGATAATTTTGTAGTTATTGAATAATCATTAAACAAACAGTAAATTTCAAGTGACAGAATACAAACCAAGTAGATATTTTTTTGGCTAAAAAAGAATCCAGATACTTTAAAAAAGTTACCACCTAAGTAAGCCAGATTCCTGTGTTGTTTTTCAGAGTCATTCAGCACTGCCTCATTTGGAAAATGTGTCACTGTCAACTGTAGCTTCCTGGAGGCATGGGAATTTGGAGTCAACCTCATAAGAACCCTATTTTAAAAAGGCTTTTAAAATAAAATCTTAGAACTGTCCCTTTGAGTCACCTAATTGTAAATAATAGTGTAGCATTCTTGAATCAGTGCACCATTTTGCTGTGGAAATGATTTGAATGTGTGGGAATGTTTTAAAACTTGAATCTTCATTTAACCTCCAGACTTTTTTCCACAGGCCATTTTGCAACCCGTGTTGGCAGCAGCAGATTTTACTATCTTTAAAGCAATGATGGTCCAGAAAAACATTGAAATGCAGCTTCAAGCCATTCGAATAATTCAAGAGAGAAATGGTAAAATGTTGAAGTTAGAAATCTAAGTGCTAAATGCATTTTTTTTTTTTTTTGCAGTTTTGACTATTCTGATTTTAATATGGTCTTAAATGTAGCTGACTTGTATACATTTATCTCAAGTTTAAAAGTCTTTGGCTGACTTAAGAGATTTAAGAGTGTAAACTTCCTGATCAGTGCATATTTGACATCTCAAAGAAGGCAGACCAGAATTTGATTTAATGATGTTTTAGATTTCAGAAAGCTCAATTTTCTGTCCAGCCATTGTGTTTATGGAATTCAGTATTTTCGAGTGGTCACAGCAGTTACTGTTGAGAGAAGGTGACTCCTGGCTTATAATTGTTAGGATCCTTGCAGAAGACAGTAGTTCTCAAGCTTTAATGAGCATTAAAAACAGTTGGAGGGCTTGTTGAAACACATATGGCTGTCTTTTTTTTTTTTTTTTCCTTTTTGTCTTTTTTACTGACCGGCAACGGGATCGCAACCCTCGGTGTTGAGCCTGCACCTCGCTCAGCCAGTGAGTGGGAACCAGTCTCCACATGGGATCCGAACCCTCGGCGGGAGCGCCACCGCGCTCCCAAGCAGCGCACTCTCCAGTGCGCCACCGGGCCGGCCCCACATATGGCTGTCTTACCTTTCTGATTAAGTAGGCCTGGGGTGGGACCTGATAATTTGAATTTTTAACAAGTTTCCAGGTGATGCTGAAGCTGCTGGTCCTGAGACCACACTGAGAGCTGTGTTCTAGGGTAAGAGGCAGAAAGGATTGCAGTAGCACCAGGTAGAAGAGAAAACAGAACCCAAACTCTAGTAACCCTTTTTGGCTTTATCTTTTCCCTTACTCTGTGCTCAAACTCACTTTCTCTCTAGCTCTTGTTGGTTTTGTTTCCTTCTTTTGACATCCTGACTACATTTGATATCCTGACTCAGAACAGCAGAATTTCTAACCATGCTTCTTTTTATTGTACCACCTCCATTTCAACCCAGTTTCTCATCTCTATTTCAGATTTCTGGCACTGGTAACCTCATCTTAATTCCTATGTGTTCCTGTGGTTCTTTAAACCTCTTTAATGATTTGGCAGCAGAATAGTTCCTTTTCTCCATTTCAACCCAGTTTCTCATCTCTATTTCAGATTTCTGGCACTGGTAACCTCATCTTAATTCCTATGTGTTCCTGTGCTTCTTTAAACCTCTAATGATTTGGCAGCAGAATAGTTCCTTTGATTGTTTCTTGAAGATATGAGTGTTGTATTTGTTCTTAAGGGTCTGGAACATGTTACAATGTAGCTTCTGTTGTTGCAGGACAAGTATCAGAATGTTGTAGGGCCGTTGTTGGGGATTCTCCTTCTCACTTGTCTGATGTGAGTAGAGACTCTATCCCTTAGAGACAGCCACCATCGTAACTACCCTGAAAATCCTAAGATGCTTTCCACAGCAGAGACCTAGTCTGTAGGTAGGAGATGATTCTGCCTTAATCCTGAAGAATTCATGACACAGTGTTCTTACTTTTGTGTAAATAAAGTTTGGGAAATAGTCTTTCTTTCTCTCTGTCTTTCTACCATGATTTGCTCTATAAAATCCTTTCTCTGAATTTTCCTTGAAACTATGCTTTATTCTGACCTTTGGGATAGAGAATTTTAATACTTATTTTTTTGTTAGTAAGATTTGTTTTGGGGAGGTCATTTTTGATAAAAGAAATAGTGAACTTGACATTGGCACTTTATAGTTTTCAGTTTGAAATTTAACTGGAAACTCATTTAGACTTTAATAAGGAGGGAACAGATACATAGCTTGTAACATCTGGATGCTTCATGCTGCCAATAACAAAACACTCCAATAATAATGGCCTAAGCATTTAGAGGTTATCATCTCACAGAACACAAAGTCCAGAGGAAGGGAGGTAAAGAAGACAGGTCCAGGGTTTGTTAATTTAGTGGCTCAGTGATATTTATTGAGAAACCCTGTCACTTTCCATCTTCATACTCTGCCATTCTCAGGATCTTCTCTCGTGATTGTACTCTGGCTGCGCTGAATGCAGACTCAACAATGTCTCATGAAGAAAAGGGATGTTTCTTCCTGTATATCTCTTTCTGTTAGCAAGACACAGTCATGAAAGACCTCCAGTTTTCCCCGCAGGTCCTATTGATCAAGATTGCAGTCACTTGGCTTTTTTAAACCGTGTGGCAGGGGGAATGAGACTGTTAGATAGGCTTAAACCAATGATGAGTCACTCCCCTAGGGTGGGGGAGGCCCCCCTCCTCTAAGTAGTTGGATGCCTGATAACTGCACAAAACTAGTTTTATATTAGCAAGGGAGGAGGGGAGTGATATGGAGTAATGGCTGTTGTCAGACTGCAGCATGAGATAGTTTGCTTACATTTAAACATAAACTAGTACTTAGTTTCTGCTACAGAATTTTTAATGCTTGTGTTGAAGAATGTTGCTTTACATAGATCCAGGGGCAAGTACCTTAGATCAGTGTCAACTGTACTTAAAACTGTAGACTGTTTGAAAACTGCCTTTGTGGAAAAAAAAATTTGAAGGCTGTCTGGATTCTTGGTTGTATCTTATCATCGAATTTGGGGAAGATGCAAATCAGAGCATTATTTTTATGGTTTTGAAGTACTTCATTCTGTTGTGTTATTCTTTCCTTAGTACTTTTAATTTCCCTTAGAAAGATTATTAGGAGAATAATAACTTTTTGATTATACATTTTTAGGGGGTATGGTTGTTGTTTCAATACATGTGTGTATTGTATTTTGATCCAATTAGAATAGTTAGCATATTTGTCACCTAAACATTTTTTCATTACTTTGTGGTTATAACATTCAAGATCCTCTTTTCTGGCTATCTTGAAATATACAATGCACTATTATTAGCTATAGTTACCCTAGAGCACCAGAATTTATTCTTCCTATCTAAATTTAACTTCGTAACTTTGTACCCATTTACCAACTTCTCCTTTCCTCCTCCCTCCTCTTCCCTGCCTTTGGTAACCACTATTATATTCTCTATTTCTTCTCTTTTTTTCCTTTTAACTTATTTTATCTTAATTGACCCATGATAATTGTATATATTTATGGAGTACAGTTTGATATTTGGGTACATTCATACATTGCACAATGATCATATCAGGGTATTTAGCAAATCCATCACCTCAGGCATTTGTCAGCTCTTTGTGTTGGAAACATTCAGAGTCCTCTCAATTAGCTGCTTGAATTTATACAGTAATTTATTGTTGATTATAGTCACCCTATATTGCCATAGAACACTAGATCCCATATCCTATCTCTCTACAATTTTGTATTCATTGACCACCCTCTTCTCATCCCTTCTCCCCACTTACCAGTCTGTAATAACTATTCTACTGTTTACTTTTATGAGATCAACTTTTTTTAGCTTCCACATATGAGTGAGAACATGCAGTATCTCTCTTTCTGTGCCTGACTGACTTTACTTAACATAATTTTCACCAAGCTTATCCAGGTTGTTGCAAATGGCAGAATTTCATTCTTTTTTTATGGCTGAGTAGTGTTCCATCGTGTGTATGTTACACTACATTTTCTTTATCCAGTCATCCACTGATAGACATTTAGGTTTGTTCCAACTCTTGGCTATTGTGCATAGTGCTACAATAAACATGGGAGCGCAGGTATCCCTTCGACAGGTAGATTTCCTTCCCTTTGGATAAATACCCAGTAGTGAGATTGCTAGATCACATGGTAGTTCTATTTATAGTTCTTTGAGAAACCTCTATACTGTTTTCCATAATGGCTCCACTAATTTACAGTCCCACCCACAACATATAAGAGTACCCCTTTCCCCACATTCTTGCCAGCATTTGTTTTCTTTTTGATAGTAGCCATTCTAACTGGGGTGAGATAATATCTCATTGTGGTTTGGATTTACATTTCTCTGATGATTAGTGATGTTGAACATTTTTTCATAAACCTTTTGGCCATTTGTACATCCTCTTTTGAGAAATATTTATTCAGATCCTTTGCTCATTTTTTAATTGTATTTTTTGTTTTTTTTTACTATTGAGTTATTTGAGTTCCTTGTATATTCTGGATATTAATCACTTGTCAGGTGCATAGTTTGCAAATATTTTCTCCCATTCTGCTGGTTGTCTCTTTGCTGTGCTCATTGTTTTCTTTGCTGTGCAGAAGCTTTTTAGTTTGATATAATCCCATTTATTTATTTTTGCTTTTGTTACCTGTGCTTTTGAGATCTTATTCATAAAATATTTGCCCAGTCTTGTGTCCTGAAGCATTTCTTCTCCATTTTCTTCTAGAAGTTTTATAGTTTCAGGTCTTATATTCAAGATTTTAGTCTATTTTGAGTTGATTTTTATATATGGTGAGAGATAGAGGTCTAGCTAGTTTCATTCTTCTGCATATGGATCTCCAATTTTCCTAGCACCATTTATTGAGGATACTGTTCTTTCCCCAATGTATGTTTTTAGCTCCTTTGTTGAAAATAAGTTGGCTGTATGTACGTGGAATTGTTTCTGGGTTCTCTATTCTGTTCCATTGTCTATGTGTCTGTTTTTGCACCAGTACCATGCTGTTTTGATTACTATAGCTTTGTAGTACAATTTGAAGTAAGAGAGTGTGATGCCTCCCAGTTTGTTCTTTTTGCTCAGGATTGCTTTGGCTATTCAGGGTCTCTTGTCATTCCATATAAATTTTTGAATTATTTTTCTATTTCTGTGAAGTATGTCATTGTTAGTTTTGTTCTTTTTGCTCAGGATTGCTTTGGCTATTCAGGGTCTCTTGTCATTCCATATAAATTTTTGAATTATTTTTCTATTTCTGTGAAGTATGTCATTGTTAGTTTGATGGGGATTGCATTGCATCTGTATATTGCTTTGAATAGTATGGTCAGTTTGACAATATTGATTCTTCCTATCCATGAACATGGGATGTCTTTCCATTTTGTGGTGTCTTCTTTAATTTCTTTTTATTAATCATTGTTTTATAGTTTTCCTTGTAGAGATCTTTCACG